AGTGCACACAATTTTATCCGTTAATGATCGATTAATCGATCAAGTAATAGGATATCTCGTAAGATTCGTTCTTTTTCGTTAGATTTTATATTATAAATAAGTTCTTCCGAATTTTTTTTTGAGTTGTAAATTATAGTTTCTTAAATAAAGGATTCAAAAATTCCTTTTTAAAATAAAAGAAGTGAGGCTAGAGATTATAATCTTACTTTAACGTCATTGTAACTTCATCTGTATCTTTTTTTCACACAGACAGATTCGATTATTTACGATCTTGCGCATCAATCTAACGTTTGTACAATCTTATGAATCATAAGTGATAGTATCAAGATAAAATCAATCGTAATAAAATTAAATAATGAATAAGTTGGGTAATTAGGAATCGGTTTTGTAAGTGATGCGCTTAAATGACCAAAATCTTCTTATATCATCGTCTTATAACGTACTCTAATTTTATATTACTTCTGAGATAACTCCTTCACATCAATTTATCTCCTTTATTTCATTATTTAACTTATTACAACTAACATTATTCAAGATCTTAATTTTTTGAGACCAGCTCATCATCTGGCCATGGAAAAATGTATGAGAGATTAGTCAACGGAATCTACGCACATATCAAGTCAATGAAATATAACTTTGGAAATTTATTCGCTAAAGAAGGCTAGAATTTAGCCGAAATATACGTTATTTGAATTGTAGAAATATATTATTAAACCATAATGATTTTAGTCATTTAAGCGTACCATTTATAGCGCCTAATTGCCCAACTTACCCATTATTTAATTATTATTGAGAGCGAGAAATTTTATTTTTGTAATTATAATTGTAGTAAAATTTCTATTTAATAATTTTGATTATTATTATGTTAGACTTACTGATGGTGGCGACTGCCACAATGAGCAAGAGGAAAACTAAGGCACGGACCATGGCTGTATCTTCGAATTCGTGTTGCTTGCACTCTTACAACTCGAACTAGACTGATGATAACTCTCCGTTCCACTAAACTTATATATATATGATAGTGGGTGGCCTTCGACCGCGACACGTCTCTCAAGATAGATACTTTTTGGACATACTTCTTTCTTTCTCTCAATGGACTCTCACAATCAGTTTTGTACGTGACTGCTGGCTCAGAAGTTCGATCCGTTCAAAACGCGCAATATGAATTTTAAACTGTTGCCTACCGGTAAGTTCATAATCTAATACCAATTTAAAAATCTTGGATTTATAAAACCAGGTGTTTGTTAATATAAGGTAACATCGATGTTGAATTTAGATTTAATAGTTTTTTCACGATTGCGAATATGATAAAAAAATAAAAGTCTCATTTTTAATACCTCCAACATAATTTTCAACGTAATTTTTAATCGCGTTTACAAACCTCTATGATTAAGTCAATTATTATTTGTAATTATGGACTTTTAACTATTAATCATTTATTAATGATTATCAATTCTCTTTAGTTTGAAAATTGCACGTTTAGACATAAAAAAAGTTTTGAATATCAAAATATTAAGTAAATAATTAAATTTAAATATCAGTTAATTTAATAATCAATAGAAATGTAACATATATAAAACAATTTCACTTATTTTGTATTCGAAAAATAAGATAAAAACATTTTCACTGATACTGTATATATGTATATGTCCTTTGAGTAACCCATACTATTTAAATTTATCATTTGCTCTCATTATATATCTTGTTTCTAAGAAACACATAGTGCCATTATATGAAAATTTACATGCCTTTTTATCAACTTTTCAGTCTTAGATAAGTGGCGTTATATTTATTACATTAAGAATACCACTTGAATTATATTATTTATATAATGGATGTTTTTTTAGCTTATGTAACATTTTTTATGGGGTTATGTAAAGGTACACTTGGCGCCTCTTTTTTACCTCTTTTAAAAAATATTTATTACGTTAAGAATAAATGAAACGTAAAGTTTCTAATATCTCACATAACATTGCGCTCAGTGTGTTAAGTGTTTTCTTTTTATTATAATAATTTATAAATATTTATTTTAAATAGTAAAATACATTTTTTTTAAATCAACAGTGCATGTAATAAATAGTATGTGATATTATAAGATAAGTAATTATTTACTCATCACTTTTATAATGATCTCAATAATAACTGATTATCTATATAAGTCAGGTTATTTTTATAATTGAACTACTCTATCACTCAATATATTGGATCAATATTGCAGTATTGGCATTTATATTAAAAGTAAATTAATAAATTAATAATAAATTTTAATTATAAGTGACAGATCTTCTCATAATCTAAAAATAAGACACCTACTCTCTCATATTTCTATGTTAAAAGATTTTTAATGTATTTTTTTTACAGTTTAATATTTATCATATTTTTACTTTAATATTATATAATAATAATGATTTATTATGAGATAAAACATAAAGACAGAACTTTCATATTTTTCTTATATATGTATAACTAAAATTTGAATATAACAAATACATAATGTACATACAGTATATACACTCAATCATTAAAAATGAAAAACATGTTTTTTCACACTTGATCGTTTGATAATTATTTCCTTTTATAATATTAATTTTAAGAACCTACTGTTGATCTTCACTAAATAATTAATATCTTCTACTTGTGCGCATACGTATGTGAATAATATCATCTTTCACATTCGTAAATGTATTCTTTTCATGTGGATAAATATGATTACATATACAGGATAATATCAAAAATTACTTTCTTTAATTTTACATGTTTGCACAAAAATTGACCTTCGCACATTTTTATATGTATAAAGAAAAAAATTACTCTAAATAATGATATATCTTATAATAAATATGCAGGTAACTAATTATATTACATTTGTATGCGGCATTTCTCTTAACATGAATGTTCAATATTTGTTAATATCTTATTCCATGAAGTCTGTCCATGAAATCTTTTTTTACTATTTGAACAGCAGTGACGTACGAATCTTCGTCCATTTCTTAGAAATCTGACAAGAAGTGAAAAAAATAAATGTCGTCTTCTACGTTGTTCTTTCCTTTACTCTCCAAATAAAAAAAAATATTCTAAAACTTATATTATAAAATTTTCGTATAATCTATCTACAAATAAGCTTTATAAAGTTGAAAATATATAAATTATAATGATTTCATTATATACGCAAGACATTATATACAACATAAATAATGTAATTTTTTATATATTGTGTAATAAGGAAAAAAATAGCAAGACATGTTGATATGATTTCGATGCTACATGTTAGACTTTGCTCCATACTTTGAATCGATACTTCTAGCTTTTGTACTATAATTAATTTTGATACGAACCGTTGTAGCACTTAATAAAATGTCAAGATTTATTCTATTCTCTTTCAATAGTTTCGGAAGATTATTGGAATATTTTTAGAAATATTAAGTACACTACATATAGTAAATTATTTTTAATATATTGTATTAAACATATATATATATATACACACACAAATAATTATTTTTTGCATATATAGCATAAGGAGAAAATTCAAAGTCCTAAATCGTATTTGTTGTATTTTATAATTTAAACTTCACAAACAATTGTAATGTTACAATAAATTATATCTACGTATTTCCTGGACATTTTTATTCTATCATATGTTTGTGCATTTATCTCGAAATACATTTTTCCGAGAAAAATAAAGGAAGAAATGAAAAAATAGAAACATCATTATGAGAAATTAGTAATTCTAAAATATATATAATGTATTTAATAAAATTAACAAGTTTACAAAATATAACATGTCTTACGGATTCAGTTATTTCGGATTCAAACAAATGATTGTTTCTTTAACATTTTTTATTTACTGTTTTGCGAAAATGTTTGACTTTAACATTTGTAAATTCATTAGTGCAAAATATTATTACAAAAAAGTAAGTGTAAAAACAAAGTATTGAGTATTCTCACAAAAAGTTTTTATTTGACTTCTCGCATGATTTTTATACTGGATGTGTATAAAAATAGTTTTATTCGATAACTGGTTTACAGAATTTATTTATTGTTTGCACTGACTTAAATATAACATTTACACAATATTATTAATTATCTTACCTCTATTATTTACATAATATTATAATTAAAACAATAATTTATTCTGTTCTTTTTGTTGTAAAAACAATTCGTAAGATACATGTATGCAACTTAGTTATTTGCTATTTATATTGTGGCGACAATTATCGCCATGAGTATATATAAGGCAAAGATGCGTTGTATTTCAAAAGAAAGGCATGCATACCGTTTTTCGATACATCAGCCGTTTATGCACGCGGACAATATTGCCTGTACACACAGCAGTGCGGCGAAACAATAGAGGCATTTAAATGCCTCTGTTGTTTCTTTTGACAGGTCAGATTCTCCCTTCTTCGCATTGTGTGCCGAAAATGACGAAAAAATGTATGTACAAAATAATAACTAGTAATTATTAATTATTATCTTCCGCGAGTTAAACGGATTATTTTTAAAATATAAATATGAAGATAAAAGGGAGACTTGCGGAAATAATATTGTAATATGAAAAAAGATCCGAAAAAGTTGATGAAACGTGCGAGCGTTCTTACGAAAAAAACAGGAATTCGAGACTGTGAGATTCCGGAGAGACGGGACTAATGTAAAAGCAAGAGAGATTAAAGCGGACGGAAAAAAACATCTACGAGTCTTTGCATTGTACGTATCACCGCTACGGATACCAAATCTTTTGCCTAAAATCCTCGAACTCCTTATACACGCGACGGATACTAAAATATTTAAAAAGATTATTATCACGCAATTTTTATTTTTAGTTATTTTAAATTTACAAAAATATAGATATCTAATATTAATAGAGAGATGTAGTAGATATAATAGATAGAAATATTTGTAATAAAATCTTAATTCGTTATTCGTTTTATCATTAATTAGTAATTATACAAGCAATAATAATTATGTCGTATTACATCTAATACATGTTAATATTTATTGGCTTATCGATTTTTAGTTAAAAGTATTAATAAAAATCTCATTGACGTTAAATAAAAGTTGTCAACTCTTTAGTAAGTATATACAATTGATACAATTAATTTCTAACATTGTGAAGGGTGCACACATTCTCCTGAGGAATTTAGCACATATCCATTTTTACAAGAGCATCCTATCACACATTGCTAAAAAAGAATAGTATTGTAAAATATCAAAATCTTATTGCAATACATATATGATAATATTCTACAGTTAATCGCTTGAAAAGAAGTAAAACTTTCAATGGAATTAGTGTATTTAGTACAATTAAATAATACATACTAATGTACAGAATTGATCAGG